CTTCACAAATCCGTCGACATTCGAAGGACGAACGAAAAGAAGAGGGACGATCCATGTGATCATTGGGACGGATGACCTTGTAGCAATGCAAGCCCTGAACCGCTGACTGTCAACGAAGATTCAAGATTCAGCAAGTGTGTGGACTAACATTTAGAAAAGAAAAACACTACAGTAAGTCAGATGGAAGCAGTTGAAGCACCAAGTCGGAATCTCCTTGCATCATTCAGCCAACAAAATCACTTTCCCAGCACAGAGACCATTCGCACAGGCATAAATAAAATTCTGAAGTATGATAGCAACATACAAAAGTCAGCAGTCAGCGCACACACACACACATGTTACTACTGACTTGCAGTAGCAACCGATCAACAACAACAACACATGATTCAGGTTACCCCGGACAATGCCCAGGGATTAAACTTCCTGGCTGCTGCAGCAGCTCACAGTATCACATGCAGGGCTCAAGACACACCCTAACTTTGCTGAGTGAAATACCATCAGGTCTGTAATTCAGGCTGCTCCACCGCAGTCAGATCAACTCTCAGATGCAGCACGCCGTCAATGAAGAGGCTGTCGTCCGCAATGAACGTCGACCATGGAACTCCAAAAAGATCATCGCATCCCTCCAGCAAAGACCCGCTGAATGTGTGCCTACCGCCGTACTTGCTCAAGAATTTTCCTGACGATCTTGTCCTTGCAGCAAACTCAATATCGAAACACGACGAGCCTGAGATAGAATTTCCATATATCCCTAACCAGAGGCAAAAGCTGTACAACTCTGTCTCCTCATCCAGTACACAGTTTGCCATGAGATAGAATTTCTGACCTGCGAGATTGAACCAGTCCGACAATATAACTCCTGATGGGAAGAATCCGGAGCATTCGGCGCGCGTTAGATCCATGTAAACTATAACCTGTGGGTAAGGTCGATCAAACGCAACCGCTTTCACATGTTTGGACCCGTAAGTTCGCTCAGCAGATTGCCAATCGAGAGTTGATACATCTGCTGCAAGAGCACCTTCCATCTGGGTTGGGTAAGCTTTGTGGAGGAGGACCTCATTGATGTGCTTGGTTACTTGCTCACGGTCTATATCATCATCAGTGCATGCTAGGATCTCCTGAAGTGCGGCACATGTCATATGACTGAAGCGTACCAGCGGAAGCAAACGGCTGCTCAAGATCTCGCGTCTTTCCTCCGGTTCCAGGTATCGCGCACGGGCCCACTCAAGCAAGAAGTTATATACCGCATCTTCAGATGCTACTTGTATGTCAGTGCTCGAAAAGATCGCCTCGATTCCAGAAAGAGAGATGTTCATCACTTCTTCAAACCTGAAATGGGACAAACCATGCCATGAGTACACTTCATGCACATTACAATGGCCAATGCCTACATTTTTCTCCAAAATGAAAAATAAAAATTGCTCCATCAAATGGGGATCACTCACTTGTCTAAAATCTTGTATTCCTCAGCAAGGAATTCCCTGGCTGCACCTACCACACTCTGAGCTTCAGCAGCCATTGAAAGGGAGCATGGATGGTCAAGCTATAGCAGTGCAGATTCTGTGGTCATAGGCAGGCTTCTGAGCAGCTGACTGCAGTACCGCATGCAAGAAAGAACCTCAAATTTGTCGGCAGCCATTAAGATGTCGAGCAGAAGAGTGGGCTCAATTGTTGTCAACTTTCCACTGTACATGAAGCTTAAAAGCTCCATAAAGGCCTTTTCCTCTGTTCCAAGTAGAATGAAAACAGAAAAATCATAAGAGAACAGTTCAACAAATAAGCAAAAAAAAGGACACTCTTTTTGTACCCTAAATAATTTTCGAAGTTGACTACTGACTTACAGTATTGACAAACGCTCCATGGGAGATTAACTTTTTTTCCAATCACAGAAAAATTATATGTATACTACTAGAGAAAACATACGAGTTGGGAGGAATCCAAGCGATCTCAATCATTCAATACAATCAGATCCAATGGCTGATAATTGCATATGAAAACATAAACTTAAGAGAGAGTTCCCTACTTAGGAGTGAGTTAATTAATCCACGATTTTCCCACATCGATGACTAAAAGAGACGACACATATCAGTGGATATTTAGATAGTGCATGGTACATGCAATATATACAGTGTGCATGCTGAATTACCAGTAAATTTAAGTGCAGAGACTATAAAAAATAATCTTTTATTTACCATAAATACTCTTATGACAAGAAATAGTAGCACAACCACAGTAGCAAATAAGAATAAAATATAAGAGGAAGAATGTTACAGTTAAGCTATCACATTACCTGAATCAGCAATCCTGATTCTTGGATGCGTCTGATCAGATTCATTCATGCCATTTGAGAAAAGCTAAGAAACATGAAGCTTATCAGAAACTTGAACTGATCATACAAATGTATTTCACATGGTTATAAAATTACCTTTAGAAAGAAGCGACTTCTTGCAGCAAGAATCGCTGAATTGATATGAAGGGTCTTTACTGTTAAAATTGGTGTACTTGCCATGGTTGAGAAACAGTCTATCTGTCCATTATCAGCTGCAAAATACCAAGATCAGTGAAATACAAGACAACTAGGAGAAGTAAAAGGTAAGCAATTAAACCATTGGACATATTTTTCTTCTGTGAAAATACTTGAAACACTCTGTTCAATGGTGCAGATTCATTTAATCACTCTTCAGTTATGTCGTAAATGGTAAAAATAATATCAGAAAAATTGAACGGCAATTTAGCTGCAGCAAGCAACCTAAACATGCTTGTAGCTCAGTGAGGAAAGAGATCATAGATGTTATCCCAAGGATCCTACTGGAATTTCATATAACTTCGTCAGATAACTATTTGTCACAAGCCGAACTTAGGCAATGCCTTTTGTAAAGGTTCACTGCAATCTTGACCAGGAATTGTAACATGAATACTAGGATTTCAAAACCTACAATTCCTTAAAGGACATCAAGTAGTAGAACTTTAGGTGTCAGCTGGAATAGCATCTTTTCAAGTTTTCTGAGTCGCATGGTTCGCATCCATTGTCCAGTGGCTAGTCTCAGTTGCAGTGGATTGATTGTATTCTGCTGTTGCAGGGACAGGGGATAGATGTGTTTGAACACCACAGCTAAATCCAAATATTAAATATTTGTTGTATCAATCATCATCAACCATGCCCTCCCGTCGATCGCAGGCACAGCGGCGGCAGCGGCCTTCGCCGCCAGCACGCTGGGAACCACTGGGTATGGCATGGGACATCGTTGCGGCTCAGCCAGTCTTCTAGCGGCAGGGGGCTCAGCTCCCCCCGGCGGTGCCTGCTCGTCGAGCCCCCACCAGCGCGCCGTCGGCCGGGCGCTGGCGAGGCCACCAAGGTGGCCGCGCTCCAGACCATGTGCGTTCTCCTCCGACACCCGCCGGTGCCGCGTTGGAGGAGGAGTCCCCCATGCGCCCGTGGATCCAGGAAATCGCAGGGCCCGTGGATCCGACACCGCCCGCATCGACGACCTTCGCGACGTCCTGGACCGTAAGAGAGGAACCAACGCTTTCGAGGGGGGCACCGGCAGGTGGTGCCCGGTGGATCTTTCCACCAGGAACGACCTCGAGGACTGCCGGGAAGTTAAGACCCTCGTCAACACTAGGCGTCGCGCCCACCTGGAAGAGATAATTGCATCTATAGTCCTCGTACTTGCTGGCCATGATCAACTTAGTCTTGGAATTTGCGTATTGCTTCAATACGGTCCCGGTATATAAAAATACATGATCAATACGGTCCCTAGGGTTGAAACGTCAGTTTGGCTCTACACACCGCATACGTATCTCTTATTTCTGTAGTGAAGGCCACGTCTGTATGCGGCCCATATGTCAGTGGGCTGAGTGGGCCGAGAAGTAAAATGAAAAAAAGGCAAAGGGGGATTCGAACCCACTAGCTGTGCCCAACCACTACCCAAGCCGGCCACCAGACCAAGTGTGTGTTCTTGTTTGGCATGGGGATGCACCATATATTACAAGCATGTCACTGTTTCTTTAAAAAGTTATACGTGAATTTTAAAGTATTCATGAGTTTTTATTTTAAAAAAAGTTCATCGATTCACAAAATGTTCATGATTATAAAGTAAAACGTTGTGTCTACAACAAATGTATGTAAATTTTAAAAAATAATCAACACAATGCTTGGGAATTTTAAAAATATAATTCGAAGATTTTAAAAATGTATTGATGGATTCAAAAATGTTCGTCACAAAAAAATTCTGACTCTCAAAAGGTTTTCAAGAAATATTTTGCCTATGGAAAAAAACTTGTTTACGAGTTCCAAAAAACATGTGCGCAGTTTCACAAAAATTCACTAACTTGTAAAGAGCTCATGAATTTAGAAATGTTCACAACTTCAAAAATATGGTGAATATTTTGGGAGTGCATCTCCTCACATATATATAGGGAGTGCAACTTAGAAAACTCCAAAAACATGTTCACAACTTGTACAAAAGACTAAATATATATGCATCTCGTCACATATCGCACGCGCACACACACACTTAGTATTCATGAATTGATTCTTTTCTGTTCAATTCATGAATTGATTCTTTTATGTTCATTGATACAAAAAATGTTCACGATTCAAAAGTAAAAGTTTGTATATACAAAAAATACTTGAATTTATGAAAATATTCAAGAAAATGGTTGGGATTTAGAAAATTTTATTTCGTAAATTTTGAAAAAAATGGTCACTGATTCAAAAAAATAATTGATGAATTAAAAAATTGTTCATCACAGACAGCATGTTTCTTAATTTCAAAAGCTATTCAAGAATTAAACAAAAATGTTCGCCTTTGCAAAAAAACATGATCACGAGTTCCAAAAAAAATGTAAGCCATTTCAAAAATTATTCACGAATTTGTTAAAAGTTCATGAATTAAGAAAATTTTTGTAACTTCAAAAATATGGTCAACATTTTTTTAATTCGATAAAAAAATTTGAATTCGAAAAACCATCAGACCAATTTTTAAAATGGTGGACCGCCTTTGGAAAAATAATGAATTAAAAAATATTCACAATTTCAAAACTTCTGTATGCAATATGGCGGACTACGCTGACAAGTTAGTGAATTTTTGTGAAACTGCGCACATGTTTTTTGGAACTCGTAAACAAGTTTTTTTTCATAGGCAAAATATTTCTTGAAAACCTTTTGAGAGTCAGAATTTTTTTTGTGACGAACATTTTTGAATCCATCAATACATTTTTGAACCAGATTTTTAAAATCTTCGAATTATAATTTTAAAATTCCCAAGCATTGTGTTGATTATTTTTTAAAATTTACATACATTTGTTGTAGACACAACGTTTTACTTTATAATCATGAACATTTTTTGAATCGATGAACTTTTTTTTAAATAAAAACTCATGAATATTTTAAAATTCACGTATAATTTTTTAAAGAAACAGTGATATGCTTATAATATATGGTGCATCCCCATGTCAAACAAGATCATGCACTTGGTCTGGTGGCCGGCTCGGGTAGTGGTTGGGCACAGCTAGTGGGTTCGAATCCCCCTTTGCCTCTTTTTTTCATTTTATTTCTCGGCCCACTCGGCCCACTGACATATGGGCCGCATACAGACGTGGCCTTCACTACAGAAATACGAGATACGTATGTGGCGTGTAGAGCTAGGACTGACGTTTCAACATCAAGGACCGTATTGATCACGTATTTTCATGTACCGGGACCGTATTGAAGCAATACGCAAGTTCTAGGACTGAGTTGGACGTGGCCAGCAAGTACGAGGACTATAGATGCAAGACGTCGCGGGGCGGGACCTGACCAGAACGGGCAACTCCAAAGTGCGACCCCAACATGCCGCGATGCGAACCTGATCAAACGGACGTCATCACCGAGGGGCGGGTCAGGAGAAGGACAAGGGTGGATGTGGCGCGCGTCCGTATCATGCGTGCGTCGACGGAAATCCGGCCCAAATTCAGGCTAGAAATGGGTCCCGGACAGATGAAAAAGGATGGTCGTTTGTTTGTGTCGGCACATTGGGCCATTTTTTGTGTCCATTTCGGTCTAAATGGACATGCACAGACAAAATGCGTCGGCGTGTTGGAGTTGTCATTAGATGGTTTCCATCCACCTTTTTCATGACGGATGGATTCAGCGACACAGTTAAAGAGATAGCATTGCACTGCTGAAGGGCAACGCCACCAATTCCTATGAAATACACGGTGCCTAGGCTTGGATAGGCCCGGGCAGGTCGAGAGGAGGGGGCATTTGATCCCGATCACACCACATGCGCCAAAGAGTGTATACTATGGCTGCTCTCATGTTAAATAAGGGACAAACTGGAGCCTCAAGGGAGGAGGAAAACCTTGTTATCACACACACACACACACCACTTGTCTTCAGAAGCAAGAACTAGCACTAGGACGTCGAGTGTTACACCTTCTTGCTGACATGAACCTGGATAAACAAAGGCTCAATCTCTCAAGTGATCTGAAGTGTTTGACCCCCGACTGAATCTCTAAAAGGGGATCCCCACAATC